AGAAAGAAAGAAAGAAAGAAAGAAAGAAAGAAAGAAAGAAAGAAAGAAAGAAAGAACTCACTGGGTTTTTGTTTGTTGGTTATGAAGTCCCGTTAGATGCTGGCAGTTCCTATAAGCCAGCTGTGAAACCTTCTTATGCAAAAAGATTTCAAGTCGCCAGATGCAGAATGACCACATCATTTACCACCCAAAGTAGGAGGGATGAGCTCTGTGGGCGTTGCCATTGGTAACTGTGCTGGAGTAGCATTCATGAGGCCCAGCTGCCCCGATTGTGGACCTGGACCAAAGGCCTCTGCGTGTGTTCTCAGTCCAGCTGTGTTTTACTCTCAGGTCCGTTTTCACCAGTTGGTCTATCTCAGGCAAATCACTCGACTCTCCCTGTGCCTTTGTTACCTCATCTATAAAATGGAGACAGGGCAGGAGAGATGGCTCAGTAGCTTAAGAGCGCTCACTGCTCTCCCAGAGGACCTGGGTTCTGGTCCCAGCACCAACACAGGGCAGCTTGCAACTGCCTGTAAATGCAGCTCTAGGGGATCCAACGTCCTCTTTTGGCCTCCACAGGTACACGTACTCATGTGACACAAAGACAACACACATAAACAAAAATAAATACGATGGAGTTAACTATAATAATACTTCCTATTAGAATTTGAGTCTGGACCACACACAGAGACACACACAGAGAGACACAGAGGCTCGTGTGTTTGAATACCTAGTAACCAACTGGTGGCACTGTTTTGGGAGGTTGCAGGACCTTTTTGACAGCCTCTGGTCTAGCTCTCTCTGCTTCCAGATCCCCTAGCATGTAAAAACCACACACAGCATGGTCCTACAACGGTGAATGGCCAGTGGGGGTCAAAGTAAGCCTCTCCTTCTCCAGGCTGCTCAGGTCAGGTATTCATTCTGCCGCAGTGACAAGGGATGTTGGTGTGGCTCCCTTAGGGTTTCAGGAGAGTAAATGACCTGCAAGATGATGGGTGGGGGTGAGCAGCTCCATGGTGATGCTCTTGTCTAGTGTGCACAAGGCCTGGCGTTGGCTCCCTGAAAACGTAACGGAATCAAACCCAGACATCATAGTCAGGAACCTGTCTGTATTCATTTTCATCGTGACTGCCATAGCCCATCTGCACCCTGTGGATACAACCCTCGGAGGGGCATGGTGCGTCTCCTCACCCGTGCATGGTAAATATTTCTACAATAAATACTTGGTACTTAAGGAATGTGTGAGCAGAGAGAAAGCCATGAGTGTGGGAAGGCTTTTGCTTAGGAACGCAGGCTAAGGACACTGAATGCTGCTGAGACCATCGAGCTGCTGGAATGCTCTTCCCTGCTGGGGGGATACAGAGCCCTAAGCACACTGAAGAAGCCTGTTTGGAAGCCTCTTACAAAATGAAGCATACCTGCACCACCCCACTCAGCCAGCATCATACTCTTTGGTTTGATATTTGCTTCCAAAATGAAAGAGGCAAGTCCATACGATGACCTGGACTGCAGATCAATCTTTTTAGCAACTTCATTCTTCATTGCCCAAAACGTATACACAACCAAGATGTCCTTCCATAGATGAGTGGAAATAGATACCAGCATCCGCTCAGAGGGCTATTATTCAGCAGGAAGATAAGAAAAAGCAAAAGAGCCTGGTGGTGGTGGCGCATGCCTTTAATCCCAGCACTCAGGAGGCAAAGGCAAGCGAATCTCTGGGGGTTTGAAGCCAGCCTGGTCTACAAGAGTTAGTTCCAGGACAGGCTCCAAAGCTACAGAGAAACTCTGTCTTGAAAAACCAAGAAGAAGAAGGAGGAGGAGGAGGAGGAGGAGGAGGAGGAGGAGGAGAAGAAGAAGAAGAAGAAGAAGAAGAAGAAGAAGAAGAAGAAGAAGGCAAAAGCTATTGGCCCATGCACCCATGCAGAGACCTAGATGCCTGTTGCCAAGTGGAAGCCTTTTGCTGAAAAGCGGCAAGCTGTACAGCCCCAAGCATGTGACAGTCTGGAAACAGCATGGAGGCCGGTGAGATGGCTCAGGAGGTAAACAGCACTTGGCATGCAAGCCTGATGACCTGGCTCAGATCCCTGGAGCCTCTGTAAAAAGCCAGAGATGGTGGCACGCAGCTGTAATTCTAGTTTCCAGAGAGATGGGAGACAGATGGGAACTAGCTGAAGGGAGAGGGCCTGCTAGCCTGGAGCACCCTGCACAGTGGCAGAAGCAAGAAGGACCCTAACTCTCCAGAGAGCAGTCCTATGGCCCTCATGAACTCTTGGATTGATCTGCATACATCCACACACACATGCACACATAAATACATGCATGCAAACCCACACACTAATGCACACATGAGCCACAGTTTTCTGAAAATACCAAACGCTATGACAAATGGACAGATCAAGCCGGGGTGTGGTGGAGCAGGTGGATCTCTGAGTTTGAGGCCAACCCGGTCTACAGGGCAAGTTCCAGGACAGCCAGAGCTACACAGAGAAACCCTGTCTCAAAAAAACCAAAGCAAACAAAAGCAATAACAAAAAAAGAATAAACAAGCCGGGTGGTGGTGGTACATGCCTTTAGTACAACACTTGGGGAGCAGAGACAGGTGGATCTTTGAGTTCGAGGTCAGCCAGGTCTACAGAGTGAGTTCCAGGACAGCTAAGACTACACAAGGAAACCCTGCCTTGGGAAAAACACTCCCCCCACCAAAAAAAGAACAAACAGATCAGCAGTTGCCAGGGTTGAAGGAGAACCCTAGGGGTGTGGAGGGCTCTGAAGCAGAAAGATAAATGTGTGTGACCACTCACACTCCTAGTGGTGGCTTGGCATTAGGCATTTTCTGGAACCCGTCAAAGCCACTGCCCACTTGGGCAGCAGGCACACTAAAACTGGGACAATTCAGAGGAGATTCGCAAAGATGGTATGCACATCTAGAAAGCCGCTCACATCTTAAAACATTATTCATTTATTTATTTTATGTGTCTGGGTGTTTTGCCTTCATGCATGTCTGTGCGCCACATGCATTCAGTGCCTGAGGAGGCCAGAAGACAGCATTCGATGGCCTGGAACTGAAATTACAGAAGGTTGTGAGCCACCGTTTGGGTGCTGAGAGTTGAACCTGGGTCCTCTGGAAGAGCTGTCAGTGCTCTTAAAGACTAAGCCATCTCTCCACCCCTGGTTGCCCACATTTTAACAAAAGCATACAGCACACAGAGTGGACCTGCTCTTACACATGGACCTTCAGTGACACTGTGTCATTGTAGGAGCCTTGTGGTGTCATAGGGACCACTAAGGTTCAGGGTTCAGCAGTAGAGGGGCCATGCACGTGTGACTTTCTGCTCTGACTGCTCAATCTACAAGCCTAAAGGAAATTGGCTGCTGCCGGGAAGTGGTGGTGTACGCCTTTAATCCCAGCACGCGAAAGGCAGGGTCAGGAGGGAGCTCTGTGAGTTTGAGGCCAGCCTGGTCTATAGAGCGAGTTCCAGTACAGTCAGGACTGCTACGCAGAGAAACCCTGTCTCGAAAAATAGATAGAGAGAGAGAGATAGATAGGTAGGTAGGTGGGTAGGTAGATAGATAGATAGATAGATAGATAGATAGATAGATAGATAGATAG